AAAAGATCCCTTTGACAGATGGAATTCGATATAAGAGTAGGCCGTAGTGCCGCTGTCCGGGCAAAATTTCCCTCATCGCACAGTGTATGGCGTCTGCCCGTCTGCATTAGCCCAGTTCCAAGCAGAACAGAAGGACGTTAAACCCCATTTCATTTCTTTTCATTTCTTGAAACTAGTTGGGAAGCCCCCCGGTCCCTACCCCATGCCCCCGGCTCCTTCAGCTATGGCTACGAGCATGATTTGCTACTATATTATCTTAGCCCGCTGCCACCGCTGCTTAATATTGAGCGACTTGTTTATTCGACTGAATTATTCGACTGAACTATTCGACTGGTTTATTCGACTGAACTTTTCGACTGAATTATTCGACTGGTTTATTCGACTGGATTATTCGACTGAACTAACTGACTGGTTTTATCGACTGGACGAGGCCACATGAAAATGTCAAATACCTCATCCCCCCCACCCCCGCCCCACCCCATCCGTTTCTTCGTTTATATCATATATAGGGACTCTATTCTTTTCGAGGCGGACAAGGACAGCTGTCTAGTCTTTCGGATGGGACGAAAAACCGAGGTCCCGTGTCTACATTGGAGTGGACGTAAAAGATCCCTTTGACAGATGGAATTCGATATAAGAGTAGGCCGTAGTGCCGCTGTCCGGGCAAAATTTCCCTCATCGCACAGTGTATGGCGTCTGCCCGTCTTCATTAGCCCAGTTCCAAGCAGAACAGAAGGACGTTAAACCCCATTTCATTTCTTGAAACTAGTTGGGAAGCCCCCCGGTCCCTACCCCATGCCCCGGCTCCTTCAGCTATGGCTACGAGCATGATTTGCTACTATATTATCTTAGCCCGCTGCCACCGCTGCTTAATATTGAGCGACTTGTTTATTCGACTGAATTATTCGACTGAACTATTCGACTGGTTTATTCGACTGGTTTATTCGACTGAACTTTTCGACTGAATTATTCGACTGGTTTATTCGACTGGATTATTCGACTGAACTAACTGACTGGTTTTATCGACTGGACGAGGCCACATGAAAATGTCAAATACCTCATCCCCAACACCCCCGCCCCACCCCATCCCCTTTCTTCGTTTATATCATATATAGGGACTCTATTCTTTTCGAGGCGGACAAGGACAGCTGTCTAGTCGTTCGGATGGGACGAAAAACCGAGGTCCCGTGTATACATTGGAGTGGACGTAAAAGATCCCTTTGACAGATGGAATTCGATATAAGAGTAGGCCGTAGTGCCGCTGTCCGGGCAAAATTTCCCTCATCGCACAGTGTATGGCGTCTGCCCGTCTGCATTAGCCCAGTTCCAAGCAGAACAGAAGGACGTTAAACCCCATTTCATTTCTTTTCATTTCTTGAAACTAGTTGGGAAGCCCCCCGGTCCCTACCCCATGCCCCCGGCTCCTTCAGCTATGGCTACGAGCATGATTTGCTACTATATTATCTTAGCCCGCTGCCACCGCTGCTTAATATTGAGCGACTTGTTTATTCGACTGAATTATTCGACTGAATTATTCGACTGAACTATTCGACTGGTTTATTCGACTGAACTTTTCGACTGAATTATTCGACTGGTTTATTCGACTGGATTATTCGACTGAACTAACTGACTGGTTTTATCGACTGGACGAGGCCACATGAAAATGTCAAATACCTCATCCCCCCCACCCCCGCCCCACCCCATCCGTTTCTTCGTTTATATCATATATAGGGACTCTATTCTTTTCGAGGCGGACAAGGACAGCTGTCTAGTCTTTCGGATGGGACGAAAAACCGAGGTCCCGTGTCTACATTGGAGTGGACGTAAAAGATCCCTTTGACAGATGGAATTCGATATAAGAGTAGGCCGTAGTGCCGCTGTCCGGGCAAAATTTCCCTCATCGCACAGTGTATGGCGTCTGCCCGTCTTCATTAGCCCAGTTCCAAGCAGAACAGTAGGACGTTAAAACCCCATTTCATTTCTTTTCATTTCTTGAAACTAGTTGGGAAGCCCCCCGGTCACTACCCCATGCCCCCGGCTCCTTCAGCTATGGCTACGAGCATGATTTGCTACTATATTATCTTAGCCCGCTGCCACCGCTGCTTAATATTGAGCGATTTGTTTATTCGACTGAATTATTCGACTGGATTATTCGACTGAATTATTCGACTGAACTATTCGACTGAAGTATTCGACTGAACTTTTCGACTGAATTATTCGACTGGTTTATTCGACTGGATTATTCGACTGAACTAACTGACTGGTTTTATCGACTGGACGAGGCCACATGAAAATGTCAAGTACCTCATCCCCCCCCCACCCCCGCCCCACCCCATCCCCTTTCTTCGTTTATATCATATATAGGGACTCTATTCTTTTCGAGGCGGACAAGGACAGCTGTCTAGTCTTTCGGATGGGACGAAAAACCGAGGTCCCGTGTCTACATTGGAGTGGACGTAAAAGATCCCTTTGACAGATGGAATTCGATATAAGAGTAGGCCGTAGTGCCGCTGTCCGGGCAAAATTTCCCTCATCGCACAGTTTATGGCGTCTGCCCGTCTTCATTAGCCCAGTTCCAAGCAGAACAGAAGGACGTTAAACCCCATTTCATTTCTTGAAACTAGTTGGGAAGCCCCCCGGTCCCTACCCCATGCCCCGGCTCCTTCAGCTATGGCTACGAGCATGATTTGCTACTATATTATCTTAGCCCGCTGCCACCGCTGCTTAATATTGAGCGACTTGTTTATTCGACTGAATTATTCGACTGGATTATTCGACTGAACTATTCGACTGGTTTATTCGACTGAACTTTTCGACTGAACTTTTCGACTGAATTATTCGACTGGATTATTCGACTGAACTAACTGACTGGTTTTATCGACTGGACGAGGCCACATGAAAATGTCAAATACCTCATCCCCCGCCCCACCCCATCCCCTTTCTACGTTCATATCATATATAGGGACTCTATTCTTTTCGAGGCGGACAAGTACAGCTGTCTGGTCGTTCGGATGGGACGAAAAACCGAGGTCCCGTGTATATATTGGAATGGACGTAAAAGATCCCTTGACAGATGGAATTCGATAAAAGAGTAGGCCGTAGTGCCGCTGTCCGGGCAAAATTTCCATCATCGCACAGTGTATGGCGTATGCCCGTCTTCATTAGCCCAGTTCCAAGCAGAACAGAAGGACGTTGAACCCCCATTTCATTTCTTTTCATTTCTTGAAACTAGTTGGGAAGCCCCCCGGTCCCTACCCCATGCCCCGGCTCCTTCAGCTATGTCTACGAGCATGATTTGCTACCATATTATCTTAGCCCGCTGCTTAATATTGAGCGACTTGTTTATTCGACTGAATTATTCGACTGAACTATTCGACTGAACTTTTCGACTGAATTATTCGACTGGTTTATTCGACTGGATTATTCGACTGAACTAACTGACTGGTTTTATCGACTGGACGAGGCCACATGAAAATGTCAAATACCTCATCCCCCGCCCCACCCCATCCCCTTTCTACGTTCATATCATATATAGGGACTCTATTCTTTTCGAGGCGGACAAGTACAGCTGTCTGGTCGTTCGGATGGGACGAAAAACCGAGGTCCCGTGTATATATTGGAGTGGACGTAAAAGATCCCTTGACAGATGGAATTCGATAAAAGAGTAGGCCGTAGTGCCGCTGTCCGGGCAAAATTTCCAACATAGCACAGTGTATGGCGTATGCCCGTCTTCATTAGCCCAGTTCCAAGCAGAACAGAAGGACGTTGAACCCCCATTTCATTTCTTTTCATTTCTTGAAACTAGTTGGGAAGCCCCCCGGTCCCTACCCCATGCCCCGGCTCCTTCAGCTATGTCTACGAGCATGATTTGCTACCATATTATCTTAGCCCGCTGCTTAATATTGAGCGACTTGTTTATTCGACTGAATTATTCGACTGAACTATTCGACTGGTTTATTCGACTGAATTATTCGACTGGTTTATTCGACTGGATTATTCGACTGAACTAACTGACTGGTTTTATCGACTGGACGAGGCCACATGAAAATGTCAAATACCTTATCCCCCCCACCCCCGCCCCACCCCATCCCCTTTCTTCGTTCATATCATATATAGGGACTCTATTCTTTTCGAGGCGGACAAGGACAGCTGTCTAGTCTTTCGGATGGGACGAAAAACCGAGGTCCCGTGTATACATTGGAGTGGACGTAAAAGATCCCTTTGACAGATGGAATTCGATATAAGAGTAGGCCGTAGTGCCGCTGTCCGGGCAAAATTTCCCTCATCGCACAGTGTATGGCGTATGCCCGTCTTCATTAGCCCAGTTCCAAGCAGAACAAAAGGACGTTGAACCCCCATTTCATTTCTTTTCATTTCTTGAAATTAGTTGGGAAGCCCCCCGGTCCCTACCCCATGCCCCCGGCTCCTTCAGCTATGGCTACGAGCATGATTTGCTACTATATTATCTTAGCCCGCTGCCACCGCTGCTTAATATTGAGCGACTTGTTTATTCGACTGAATTATTCCACTGAAGTATTCGACTGAACTTTTCGACTGGTTTATTCGACTGGATTATTCGACTGAACTAACTGATTGATTTTATCGACTGGGCGAGGCCACATGAAAATGTCAAATACTGAAGCGACTAGATACTATGCTGTCATCAGTTTTATGCATCGGACACAGACTTAATTCAAGTTGTTTATATTAGTACGGCCATTGTTTTCAGTTGATGACGTCAGTCGTTGACCCTTAACCCTAGATGACGACCTTACTCGCAAAGAGAGGTCAACACGTTGTTTAGGGTATTGCTATTGGAAGGAAAATCTCAATAAAATTGTGACTTCAACTGTCAGATTTGAACTTGGGGGAAAATAATCAAAATAGACAAAAAACGATGTAATCATATTTGAGTTAGTGCGTTTTTTATTTCAGTCAAACAAACTATTCCCAAATTTTAGCCCAACCATCGACCGAGTTTGTTGACTGGAAATTCTAGTGGTACTTAGGGGTAATTGAAAATTTCAATGCAGAGTAAGACTGGTTAATGTAGTGTATTTGTCCGGGCTGAGGTGCAAAAAGGGAAGGGAATAGTCATCGGTTAATGTCATAATATTACCCACTTACAAGGAGATTAGGAGGTAATTCTGGTGTTTTTTTTAGAAAAGGCATTATTATGATTATTTTCTCTGCCAACATGTCTGCTATTTTTTTTTCAATGCCATGTTTATTGCCGATAGGGTAATCTTCTTTTTTTTTTTTTTTTTTTATAAATTATGGTTTTTTATTTTAGTCTTTGACTTTTATCTCAACTCTAGGCTAGATTAGAATTGAGTAAGCTACCGTAGGTTATTGCAGATGATGATCAGACTATAGTATATAACCCAATCATCATTAAAAATATGAACGATAACAAAATAATATTAGAATGATTCAGTCCCATTCTCTTGAAAGTCTCACTAGTCACTGTACTGTAGCTCAAGCTCCATCCACTCATTCTACTCTAGTCTTCCATCATGGAGAATGGAGATCACCCAACAAACTTACATCAAAATCTTCTCTAAGTAGTGGAACTCAGTGACCATTGAATACTGCTCGAGTTAGTCAATGGTTCATGAAAGTCTACATGTATCCCTGCGCAAGTATTACACGAGCGAAATCAAGTGGCTTGCGGCAGGGATACAATCGAGTGAACCATTGAATAACAAGTTATTAATATTATTATTATGTTTTGTTTTTATGTTATGCTAGAAGTATCTATATCATACATGAACATCAAGATAAAAACAAATTCAATGGTCATTGAGTTTTGTTTTTATTCTATAACTACATGCAAATCTCAAAATAAAAACAAAAATTAATGAAAACTGTTGATTTCTAAGACTGTATACACCGTCCTGAAAAATCATCTAACACTAATAAAACATCACCAATAAAAAAAAATTCCCAAAACACTAATAATACATCACCAATAAAAAAAAATTCCCAAAAGTTTTTAGGCCTAGTAATTTCCTATTAAAGTATGTGTTTATTACAAAAAAAACCTCTCCAAAAGTCGTTATGTAAGAGGTATAAGATGGCAGAAAGATCACTGTACGAAGGGGTCTTTAACAGTGGGGGAACACCGAAGGACCCAGAGAAAACCCACTAGGTTGGACAGGCAACCCTACTCCTTGTCACGTACAACCGGGGAATCAAAACCACGCCAGTTGACTCTATGACAGACCTTATGAAGTTTAGAGTTTTCGTGATTTTCTTCATTGTCTTCTTGACCCACATGTTCAATTAACATCAGCATTGCGTCTACTTCAGAAATATCCATAGTTTCTTCAATAGTAGACGCTGTACTATCCAGATTATCAAAAAAATCATCATCAATAATCATAGGCTCCGCCATCGCCATTTTTTAAAAAAAAAACGATGGTTGCCAAGTAGTGATGTCATTACAGTTGTGAGTCACAACTTGTGACGTCATTCTGGAAGTGACGTCATTCTAGAAAAAAGTAGTCCCTGTCGAAGCCATTGAATACAACCATGGCTAAATTCAATGATATTTGCATGCAGTAAAAAAAATAATACAATCTGATTAAAATAGATCTATATTTTGTTTCGTTTTTTTATACTTTCAATTGCCTACACATCTGTCCAGTTTTAGAGGAAGATTGCGTCAGGTGTCATGCGAGTAGCTTTTGACCTATGATGTCAGACATTAATTAATCAATCAGCATTGACATTTCTAGTGGTTTACCCACAGTTCACTGCATTGCATGCCAAGAAATTGCAGCAACAGACCATTTCATTGGCTAATCCCTCACTTCAACCAAATTGCCAGTAATATAACGACTCTTCCAGATCCAAGTGTAGTAAGGACAAGTAAAATGAAATTTTGAACTATAAAAAAAGAAACGAAATAGGATCTGCCTTTTAATCAGATTGAAAAAATATGATGACATAAAATACATGAAAATTCTGTGTTCCAGAATTATTTTAGGTTAAACCTTTTGGTATTTGAATGAGTGTTGGTTCTCTGCTGTGGACATGTAGCGGAGTTGCAGATCTATTTCACGTTTTGTGGGTTTATTATTTTACTGAATTATGTCCCTTTGTTGATTTAAAATCGGTGAATGCGCTGTGTATTCCAGGATTTTTTAAGGTGAAACTTCCAGGTATTTTTTCCCCCTGTTTTCATTAGTCCAATTGGAGCAGAACAGTAGGACCTTAAAAGCCATTTCATTTCGTTTCGAGGTATTTTATTGAAAGTTGGTACACTGCCTCTTATATGTACATGTATATATGTAGGCTTATACTGGTACATTTTTGGGGGATGGTAGGGGACACCTATTGTTTCAGCAAGACTCCCTAAAGGCTTGTTGATATAATATTATTAATACATTTCCAATACGAAGTTAAAAATGTCCGGGTACATGTACGACCATAGAATACATTGTAGTATATCAGGTAATTAATAAAACCCAGCTGACTCTAAAGACATGACATGGTTGTTTAATGTTTGTTGTTTGGGCTGTGCAAACTGGTCTTTAATCACAATGTTTCCTGATGGGTTAAAATCTGTCAGTTGTAGTGATCTTACTAATTCATTTACCCATTGAAAACAGTGATTGCCTTATACATGTATTATCCCAGGATACACTGTAATGTTCAACCTACTCTTAAGTCTATTTTATTCATAGCATTTCTTTCAAACTGTGTGGACTTTATGCGTGTGTCATTCAAGTACAGTCTACATTAATCCTACATGCACTATTCAGGTTTTTAGAATACCAAACGCTGTTAAAATATAAGTTAAGTTTTCATTTTGAAAGAACATGTACAGTGTATAGTGATTCTATATTTACTATAAACTTAATTACTCATGTTTTTCTAACCTACCATACATATATGTACATGTATTGTATCTCATGGTTACCAAACTTAGCATATTTGATAAAGGGCCAGGTTTTTGTCGATGAAAGTGGGCCGTAGTAGTAGACCTAGCGGTCAGGGTACTGGACTCTGGACAAGAATGTCATGGATTCAAATCCCACAATTGGCTGAAAATACACATCAGGATTTTTTAAGCTTGGCTATCACATGTCTTGGGTTGGCACCTGTGAAGTTGACAAAAGGAAAGCAAGACTAATTGTTCAAAAGATACACACATCTAAAACCATGTCTATTCATTCATTTCACCTAAATTCTTCTCACTTGCATTGCACATAGAAATAACATTTTATAACAATAACAATTTGTATCTCTCAGTATTGTGTAGGTTAGACATTACATTGTAAATTCTCTGTTCCATTCAAAATAAAAAGTAATTTAGATTAATTTTCAATTTAAAGAAAAATGCTAGGATGAATTAATTGATAAATAAGAATGCTGGTAGTGGTAAGGTGTAATTAATATCAAGATGAATGTATACATGTAACAGCAGTTTTTTTTTTGTAACTGCTGCTGGCATTGAATTTTAACAGAGTCTGTAAACTATTAAATATACATTATGCAAGAGCTAAATCTGCCTATTGCAGGTCTTTCTTTAGGCCTGGAATGTTATATAAAGAATATAAACTATTAATTAGACATTTATTAACATGAAAAGACCATAATCAACTCTCGTTGCCATGTTATTTGTCCGATTTTCATTGTATTTGAATCATATCTGCTGTTCAACGCCCATTGCTGATTTTACAGAGACTTTGTTAATTATCATGACAGTGGTAACAATGACAATCGAGGCTATCCAGTCAGTGATTTTGAAATATGGTTTTCTTGGCTTAGAGTGAAGCAATTTGACTGAACTTTTTCAGCATATCCCTTTACGTTATCTGGTTTTTAACTACATGTATTATAGTTATAGTGAGAACTGCCAGCTCTTAATCTTCTATAATGTATCTTTAACATAGCATTTTAAATTTTATGTAAGATAATGCACAAGTGTTCTACCCTTTCCTTTTTCTTTAAAATTACAAAATGTTCTTAAATTTGTTTTTGTTTGCATCATATTATGTGCACTGAATTGACCTTTATTTACTTATGTGTATGTTGTTATGATCTGAGACAATCCTGATATATATATAGAGTTTATCAGTGTATTTTTAGTTATTACCAACATTGAGATTTAGTGATGGAATATTGAAATCTTGCCAATTGATATATATAGGCTACATGTATGTTAATGACCTATGGCTTGCCATCTGGTGTGAGTCTGTCCTTGGAAAGATTTTTTAAAGAGTTGGTTAAGTCTGTTTGTAAACATAGTTAGTACTTGGTACACAGTGAAAAAGAGGGCAGTTAATCATAGTGTATGTGTAGAATGTTTGCCACAAGATCTTGTGTTATCTGTGTTGGCTAAAAGAGTAGGAAGAGGAATGTACAGTAGGTCTAGACCTGTATTCTCAGTTTACCATTAAATACATGCCTGTTGTAACGACTAACGAGTTATACATTATATAATATGTTGTTATAATATTATATGTTGTTATAAATCAGTTGATTCTCCTAGATATCAATTTCTCTACATGAATATATCATATATGTCTGACTATAATTTACAGATTTTCGTAAACACAGAATATTATCTGTTTTAAGATTTATAGCTAGAGCACAGGTACATGTGGATTTAGATTAAAAGATTTAGTGCAGGATGTGTTTTGGACAGCAGCCCATTGTGGATTATTTTTAATGGATTATTTCCTGATGGCTCATACTGTACACATGTACATGTATGTCATCTGAGATCTCTACCTAGGATTCTTTCACATGACTGAGTAGTTACTGAAATCCAAAAGGGAGTTAATTTAACTTGGAACTTCTTTTCAAATTTTAGTTACATGTATCAGTAAGCTTATAAAAGACCTAATTAATTAACTTCTAAGAAACCTGGCAGAAGAAACATCTCCCAGTGTAACTCCAATTTTACAAAACTTGTTTGTACAATAGAGAGGTAGTAAGGACAAAGAGTACAGGTCTACAAACCTTATAGGAATTCAAGTGTGATAACGTATTCAGGGACATTATTATTTTGGTCGTATTTATTGTTACTTGTGTCAGTAAAGGTATGATTTATTATATATAGTAAGTGTCATTATAGGCTAATATGTCAGTAAGTGATTAATAATTTACATAGATGTATTGTGTTGAATAGTGTAGTCTTCATATATCTGGCACTGGTATGAACTGTTTATGTTAGCTTGGTCATGACATAAAAATATTGTATTTGAAATTAAAACGTAGTTTTCTACTTAAACCTTGGATGTTTGTAGAGACATCACAAATTCTGACGGTATGAATCAACAGCCTGTTGGTCAAAGACATGTTATTTTTATGTGAAAAAATCTGTAAATACAAAAATATTTGTATTCCTATTCTCCATTTTTGCAGTGATAAATTTTTATTTAAATATTTGTGTTGACAGAAGTATTGTTTAATTTTTGTAGATAAGTGAAAGATGGCTCTGTTTAAAGCTAAAAGTGAAGATGTGCCAGATATAGATTTAGATAATCTAGATGATATTCTTGCTTTACTTACTGTAGAAGAATTAGAAGAACTTAATGGAGATTTTGATCCTGATGTAAGTTGAACTTGACTCCCATCTTTAGAACATTAATCTGACATGATTTATTATATTGTTATGGTAACTCAGAAAACTTTAGTTGTATGAAAACTGCTGTATGATAACATGTCAAGTTAGCCTAATCGAAGCTACATGTACATGTATAACATCCATTCAAGCCTTCAGATTCGAAGAAATAGTTGAACCTTAAAAACTTCTTTTGATTGTCAGTTTGAATTTGGCAGATTGTGTGATATCATTAATTTCATTGAATTCTGTAGAATCGAATAATCAGTTTTATGTGTGAAAAAGTCTATATCGAAAGGTTATTTGATTTAGATGCTTAATACAGGCGACCGTGTACAACACACATGCTGCGTCTGTCGTGTTATCACATGAGAAATCGTCATTTGAGCATGAACGTTTTCAGAAGTAATTTCAACCTTCAAAAGTGTAAATGTTGACTACATGGGGCACTCTACAATTTAGCCCTGGTTTCCCTATGCCATAAAAAGTAGAACTCTTATCATTTATTGTCTTTATGTTCATAGAATTCATTGCTACCTCCAAGCCAAAGACAAAAAGATCAGACAGATAAGTCACCAACTGGTCCCTATAGAAGACAGAAATTATTAGATTTTCTAGAGAAAAAAGCAAAGGAAGAAAAAGATTGGGAACAAAATAAACCATATGTGAAGGAAACAAAAGGTAGGAAATGTGTTATTATTTTAATGTTGGTAGAATATAATGTAAAAAACAGTAGTTAATAACATTTACACATGTAACCTAATTGTATATGTATAGTAATTAGGATATTACTGTACTAGTTTAAAACAACACTGTGATATGTCTGAAATATATAATCTTAATTCATTAAACATGTATTATGTATTAGGGCTCAAGCAAGTCTTCCAATATGGCAAATAATATAGATTTTAAAAAAAACGTGTAGAATGGCCTAAATAGGTGTAAATGACTGTCGCTTAATTTGGACAGTTCAAGTATTTCACCGAACAAAAATGATTAGAAATTACAATTATTCTTTTTAAAATTGATTATAAATCATTTTATATGCATACAACTTACAAGTACATTCGTAAAAGCTAATTTTATTATGTGCTTTAAGACCCCTTTTCGTCTATTTTAAGATTTAATTAAGAAGATGAGCCATATACATAAATGCCCTCGAATAAATACTTTTTTCCCCTTGATGAGGATGTTGATAAAGTATGGTACTCTTAGTGAAGTATCTATCTCCCGTTTGTTGTGTTTAAATGACAGTAATAAAGTGTAAGCTTACAATAAATGTAGTGATTAATAGTATTTAATTCTTTGAATACCGATAGTTACAGTGTACATACTACATGTTATGTACTTATGCTTATTTTGTTGAAACTTTTTGGTTTAGATTTAGAATATTAACAGAGTTTGAGTGTGACTGTCAGTTTTTCGTATTTATCCTACACGTGTAGAAAACTTACATACTTTTAATTACCTTACAACATTGTGCACTACCATAAATGAGAAAATAGTGAAATACGTATTAATGAAATCATAGCATTTAAATTGACTCCTTTTTTTTTTACTCATTGTGTTGTTTCTAGGTAAAGTTTATGTGCCAAAGAAAGTTGAAAATGCCGTAAATGATAAATCAGCATCAGTAAATGAGGATGCAAATACAGAAACTGAATGGGATGATATTTTAACACAGGCCTCAGAAGAAGAACTGGTAGATCTAGCCGGTAAATTAATAGCTTTATTATAATACTATATATTTTAGTGTATCAAACTGATTAATTTTGGGTGAGAGTCTCTTGCTAACCTGAATACGACTCCTTGCAACTTAGATTCTGTGTGGTGTTTGTGATAAGTCCCCATATTGTTTTTACAACTTTTGTTTAGTTAGTGAAATTTTACGGCTAACTTATAAACAAAACATTATCTGACTGATTCTTTGTGAGTTCTGTTAGTTTGTCAGAACGCTGTCAGGTATATCATGTGTTTCATTTTTATTAGTGCCTTTTTTTCTTTTTTTTGGGAGGGGGGGGGGGAGAGTGAAACTGTCAAAAATATTTCCAACACTGGTTTTTTTTATCCAAAGTGTTTCTTTTTTTTAAAAAATTTTTTTTTTTAGCAAATGTAATGATTTTAATGAATTATTCTTCCTCTTAATTATAGCTGTGCTTGGTTTCCATAGTATGTTGACACAAACACAATATTATGCATCATTAGAAGATAGAAAAATCAGTGAAGGCGGTTTTAAAGGTAATATAAATAAACTTGGTATATCTATCTGTTTTACATCATATTTGTATAGTGCTGGCTCATGTTCCTGGTGTTGGGCGAGAAAGTTCTTTCGGATTCTCCAGAGAAGCCAGAGTATTCTCTATCATATCAATTTGGGGGAGAGAGGGTTTATATCTGACATATACAACATCATAGTTTTAATCACACTTAAATTAAATGGACAGGTCATGACGTCATCAGTGGTTGATATAAACTAAATATGTCAACCTATGATAATGTCATGGCAGGTTGATATTAGATATAAATGCTATGGACATGAAAGAAAACCGCCATTTGTATATTTGTATATGCCTGTTGAATGACTGATTTACTATTTTATTATACTATACTTTCATTAAGTTATGTAGTAAAATATTATTGTTACTATATTACAGGTGCAGCCCACTCCCAATCATTTAGTCCTGTGGCTAATGAACCACCTAATACTACAGATGTTGAAGATAGTATTGCCAGATTAAAGAGAAATGATCCAGAACTTACCAGTCTTAATCTTAATAACATTAAGGTAGTTCAGTCTTAGATTCTACATTCTCTGCACATGATAGGTTGATATCTGATAATCATTGAATTGTAAACAGTCTATCATCCTATCATTATATGTACCAAGTCTATAGATCAACACCGTGGCAGTGCTATCATGTTACCCAATATTCACTCAGTAAATTACAGAATTCCACAGTAGAAAACACATTAATTCTGTGTTTCAAGCCATGTTACCACTATTATTATATATCTGTAATTCTGATAAGGGTAAAGTGTCTAGTAAATCAGATTGTACATGTACCCACACGATCTTAGTAATTTCAGTGTCTACCCCTAGCAGTATTAGTCAGCTGGCGTGGTTTCAATTCCCCGGTTGTACGTGACAAGGAGTAGGGTCGCCTGTCCAACCTCGTGGGTTTTCTCTGGGTAGGGGTTTCAGGTCAAAGTTTCTAATGACAGAAAAAAAAAATTAAAAAATATTTTGTGAAAATATACATAAAATGCTACCCAAATTTGTTTATTTCATCAAAATATTCTAATTAGATCCAAAGTTATGGAATTTTAAAATCCGAGATCGACGTCAATAATGTAATCAAAATGCTCTATACCAGTCAATGCGTGGCATGGCACCAAAGTGAGTGCTTTTCAGTCATATTTAAGTGACGTCATAAGCGGTATTTTCCCTTCAGAATCGCTAGTACCAATTTTAAAACTGAAATCCGCACGTTATTGCCAGCTAAAATTTATTAAAATCGTAATAATTTGAATGATAATATGTCAAATATTTATAATCTGGATGATACCGCAAGAAAGTTTTTTTATATTTAGTCGAAATTTAGCAATTTTCAGTCATCAAAACAGATAAATCCCATTTTCTCCGGGTCTAATTGTGCGACCACGTGGTATCAACAAGCATAATAATCACAAAAATGTTATCTATTGTTTGATTGGTTCTATATCAAAATCCCCCGGTAACTAAGGTGCGGATTTACCAATGAATTGAGTCGTAGCAATGGAAAATCTCAGGCCGCGTGACGTCAGAGCGGTATTTTCCCGCAAGCGTCTCATGTAAACAAACGATAATTTCGCTTACATTTCAACAATTTTTTAGCCTGAATCTTTGCAGATATTGAGATTAATATTAAACTATTGCAATACAATTGCTAGTAATGCTTTTACATAAAATGGTAATTCAGAATCGTAGAATGAAGTGGGGTATATTTCAGCCTCTGGCTGTCCGATTTCACGCTAAAGTCACGTGAACTGAAACCCCTAGCAGAGTCCTCTGGTTTCCTCCCACTGCTAAAGACCCCTACGCAAAAGCGAATTATGGAAATAAAATTGAACCATATGTTAGTCCCGAAATGACCTAGTCTGTGTCGAGTGGACGTTAAACCCCATTTCTCTCTCTCTCTCCCTACCAGTATTCTACCCTCTATTACATAGTGATAAGTAATATATTTATGATGCATCAGTCACTATATGGTGTATTGACAGGATTTTAAACTCATTTCAATATTCAATTATTATTTCTTGGAGCCACAGCAGCTAAGTGAGTAAGACGTTGGCATACTGGCCTGGAGGTCGTGGGTTCGATACCTGTTTTGACCGAGAAAGTTCATTGGGATTTTCCGGTGAGGTTTCCTCTTGTCAGTTTGCAGGACATTGAATTAAGGAATTAGTGAATTATTGTACTCCTGGTATTTTGAAAAAAATTTTTTTTACAGAAATTATGTTTTGTACTAATTCTGTCATTATGCGATTAATTGTTTCTTTCTATTGTAGAATATGTCGGTGGAAAAATTAGAACAAATTGCTGATGCTCTGAAAGAAAATACTCACTTAAAGAAACTTGAAATGGCAGGAGTAGCAGCTAATGATAAGATAGCTACTGTAAGCACTTAAATTTGATATTTATTAATTTCAAGCTTGATTTCCATTTGTCAAATATGGTACTGGGTCGAAAAACTAGTAAGATGTACACAGAACTGACACTTAAAATTAATGAAGAGTAGACAGAAATGTCACTGATTGAGAAAAACACTGCAACATTTTCAAAATGACCAAAGTTAAGTTGACAGGACATTCCATTCATTTAATATTTATTACAAAATATGGACTAGTGGTCTAAGGGGAGACAATTTTAGGTCTCTAAGTAGTTACTTCCCTTAAGTCTTCAGGATCACATTATGTTTTCAATAACATTGTACCTTTCTGATTGTATTTAAACACTGTATTATATATTTATACTATTTTTCAGGCATTAGCTGAAGCCCTAGAGGTGAATAAAACATTAAAGACACTAAATATAGAATCTAATTATATATCTGGGGAGAAGATAGTGAAAATACTGAAAGCCATTAATGTGAACCAGTCTGTATTACATCTACATGTAGCTAATCAGGTAAATAGTGTACCTATCTCAGTCTACGTCCTTTTCAAACAATATTTGACATTTCCAGAATATTTTGTTAGCCTCATAAGGCCTAATATCTGAATCTTGAAACTAGACAAGATACATTGTTTATCATAACTTTCATCAAACACAAAAAATTTCTTGGATTTTAAGTATCAATGAATCCCATATATTGTTGGCCCAGTTTTCATTGGGTTTCAATCAAGTGTTTATTTTAGTGAAAAGACAAGAGAGCCGTAGTCGAAACATCGCCAGAAATAAACTTTAAGTAACTTGTATTCTGTATAATTGTGTCATGTGTTTGTAAGCTTTACCAATGCATGTAGGTAAAATTCAGCGATATATGCAAACTTTTGTTACCCACTGGAAAACGGGGGAAAAATATAAAGTATAGCAGGAAGTTGTTACTGTGTACACAAGGTGATTGTTAGTCAAGAATCTTGTCTCCAACTCTACCTGACAAATGGGCATTAGTATTTCTTTGAAAACATATAACTGATCATTAGCTAATTAGATGTGACCAAAATAATGGGTTCCAGAGCCTTCCACATAGAACTGAGCTGTTTTATTCCCTGAAATTTAAACATCATTATATGACTTGTAACATTGTTTCAGAAACCAGAACTTCTTGGTAATAAAGTGGAAATGAACATACAAAATCTGATCTTAGAAAATAATACAATGATCAGGTTTGGGATTACATTTGAATATCCTGGTGTTCGAGGTAAAGTTACAGAGAAAATACAGTCCAATATTGATAAATGTAAGTGAAATATTTAATTGGTGATTTAGTAAGTATTATAAATTTGGTTGTATTAATGGATTTCTGTTAATATTTCCTGTAAATGTTTAAATCGGTCACAATGTTTTGATGATCAAGAAACATTTTATGAAGGTTTGTTTTATGCCCTACAATTTGTATAGCATGCTTGGGCATATAACAAATTGAAAATTGATGCCCAATATAGATTGATCAGATGATCTACCTTTTTCACTCTAACCATTCTGTCTTTGTTTAATACTACACCTGGGCTTGTGGCAAAATAATTTCTATTTAAAAGACTTTAACTTTGTATAGTTGGTGTTATCAACAAATTTTGATAAAATGTATGATTTTTTATTTTCAGTAAGGAAAGCCAGACAAGGAGGTTCTTCATAAAGTAAAAAGTGTAGTTTTTTCTGTTAAAAAGACTGTTTAGATGTGATAAGACTACCTGTATATACAACTCCTGACAGTGTTCTTCATATTAGGTTAACAAATTACCATTTTACATCATAAATAACGGCATATTTTTATTTAGGTAGCTATTGTTAGACTTGTGTTTATTTAACAAATTTCAATATTGTCTGCTATTTTCACAGCTAAAGACAATATAGATTAACCTGATAAACTGTGTATTATAACAGTTGTAATTAGTTCCTTGCTTTACATTATTAGCGGTTTTCATGTAGGTTTATATTATGAAGTATATTGTAATTGAGTAGCACTGCTGTAATATTGTGAAGCTTTATAAAAGGGAGATAAGCTAGTACACGTGAGTTTTGTTATATGAGTAACAATAATAACTGTTATATTTAAATATTACCGAAAATAACCGTTGTATATGAATGAAATATATTTGATATTGATTATAACTTATTATATCTAGCATGAAAATGTTATTTACCTGACATTATGTATTGTTACTACATTGTGCATATATTATGACTACAATAATTATAGTGAGCTATATGTCTAAAATAACATGAAATCACTATAGAAGATCCAGTAGCATTGATATATTAGATACTGATCTATAAATAAACAACCCTGTCAGTCTCAAAATACTAAAATGGGATTGTTTATATGAACGTGTGTATAGCTAATGCTGCAATGTTGTGACGTACATAGAAATGTTTTATAATCAAGTAAATAATAATTATAATATTTATTACAGCATCATTTATCTTGTTATTTTATAGAACACAGGTTTTTTTTTTATTATTGATAATTTGTTGACATTTGTATAGAGCCATTCATGGAAGTTTTTTTTTTTTCTTGTAAATTTTACATTTCACCCAACTACCTTTGTTACACATTTTGTAGTAATCTCATTTTGTTTGTTAGTATACCTGGTCATTATATAGATTTTATAGGAATTATACACAATCATATAAATAGCCAGCTTGAAGCTTGTGCCTTTTAAATTGATTTTTATTGTGTATAGAATTGTTTATAGCTTATTTTCCATCAGTCACTTGAAGCCCACTGAACGTTATATGCATTTTGTGGATAATATTTAAATTTTCTCAGCTTAATCCACTCTAAAGTTTACTCAAATTGATTATAATTTAGCATTTAATTAAAAAACAAAAATTTCAATGCTAGATTATCTCCCGGTTTGGATGATTACAGATGGTACAGGCTTATATCATAGGAATTGAACAGTTTTTGGACTGGCATTCCTTTCATGGATTCAACTATCACAATATTGTAGTTTTCAATGAAGTAATTAAATTACTCCTCAAATGACAATTTTTTTAAAAAAAAGTTACACAAATTGAGTTATTTTGCTGTTAAGTATAAAATTGTTTAGTTTAAATTCTATAGAATATTAGTTTCACTA